GGGGCGCGCCATGCGCGAAGTCCACGGGGCGAGCGAACAGCGCTCTGGGGCAGTTTTCGGCCAGACCTGCTGGGCGCGAGCAGTCCGCGGCCAGACCTTCTCTCGGCCCCGTGGACTCTCGCCCTGGGCCGTCGCCTTTCCAGCGTGCTGCTCCCTCGGCCGACGTCGCCCAGGCGTGTTCCTGGACTGCGGCCGCCACGAAGTGGGGGGCGGCGAGGAGGGGGGCGACGACTGGTGGCTGGAACTCTACGCGCCGCTCTCGCGCGCCACGCGCCACGAGGACCTCCTGCTCATGCGGGCGCCGCGCGTCGAGTTCTTCCTGGCAGGGCCGCCGGAGGGCTTGCGGAAGCAGCTGGAGCTGTTTGCTGCGCGCGCGAAGCGGTGCAGGAGGGAGGCGACGGCCCTCGCCAGGGAGCCGGGCTTCACCGAGTTTATCCGAGAGGATTGATCTGAGGAGCGGCCCGCCCGAGCTTCGCCGTCTCTCGACGGTTTGACTACTTGTTTGGCCTCGCGCCGCGGACGACCCGCGCGCGTCGCTGGGGACCTCTCGGGGCGACCGGCGCGCGTCGCAGGAACTCCGCGCTGCGTTCTGCCCCGCGCCTCGCTCGCCCGTCGTCGCTCTGCCCAGCGGCCACAGCCTAGCCCGCTATCAGCCAGCCAGCTAGCTCTCTTTGCCCCGCGCAGCGGACGACCCGCGCGCGTCCTAGGAACTCCGTGTTGCGTTATGCCCTGCGCCTCGCTCGCCCGTCGTCGCTCTGCCCAGCGGCAAGGAGCTTTGGCCGCTATCAGCCAGCCAGCTAGCTCTCTTTGCTCCGCGCAGCGGACTACCCGCGCGCGTCGCTGAGACCCCTCCTGGGCGACCGGCGCGCGTCGCGGGGACTCCGTGCTGCGTTCTGCCCAGCGCCTCGCTCGCCCGTCGTCGCTCTGCCCAGCGGCAAGGAGCCTTGCCCGCTATCAGCCAGCCAGCTAGCTCTCTTTGCTCCGCGCAGCGGACGGCCCGCGCGCGTCGCCGGGACGCCCCCGGGGCGACCAGCGCGCGTCGCGGGGACCCCGCGCAGCGCTGCGCCCGCAGCCTTGGACTTTTGAGTGCGCGGGCAAAGAGGGAGTAAACGAAGGGGAGGAAGCGGGCGCGATCCTCGCGGGGGGGCGCGCCGACACTGGCGTCGCGGCGCGCGGGCGACGCCGCCGGGGAGTCCCAGGGAAGCTCCTTGCGGCGGCCACGCCCAGCGTCACGGATACACAGAGGCAGTCATTCTAAAACTAATGACATTCATATACAAGTACGCCATGCTTTGTCATACTCGCAGCCATGCGCGTAGACTCGCTCGCGCGCAAATTCATTCACAGTCAGACGCACTCGCGCTCAGATTCACCCGCGCTCAGTCTCCCTACGTACTCAGATCAATCGCTTTCGTTCGCGTTGTGTACCTCGCCACTCATTTCGGCACACTCCTAGCACGGTTCGTTGCCTCATAGAGATCACCGCCGAAAAAGTGAATCACAACTGCGGTACTCACACCTGCATATGCTTGGGTCCTTCGTCAGGTATTTTTTTGTAGCTGCTTCGGCCTCAAAAATGGTTTTGGCCAGGATCTCTGCCGCGGCCTCGTGTTGAAACACCTCTTCCTCCTCTTCCTCCTCCTCCTCGTCCTCCCCCCCCCGCGTCTTCACCTGCAGCGGCGTCGATTCTGGCTGGCTGGTCCGCACCGAGTCAGGTTCTCCGGCGATCTGGCCACATGCTTGCATGGCGCTGGCGTGTGCCCTGACGCACCCGATCCGATTCGATTTCGGCTTCGTGCTGATGCCGCCTAATCCCGCGCACACTCCGATTTGACCTGACTTCCCGATGCGAGACTGGCTGGTCCTGCCTCGGTGGTAGCGGCCTTTGGACTTCGGGGAGAGTGGGCCGCACCTGGAGCGCAGCGCCCACCTGGTTAGGGCGGGCGGCAACGGGGGGGGGATCGAGAATTGTAGGAAGGTGGCCCTGATCGGACGGGGCTAGGATTAAGTCGGGCCTGTCCCCCATACAGGGGGATTTTCAACGAAAAATACAACATATTCCAAAAATGGTCCAAACATAATCCAACAATATTTGAGTATTTTTGGGGTGTTTCTCATTTTTCGTCGAAAATATCCCTGTAGGGGGACAGGCCCGACTGAAGGCTGGGACGAGGATAAATCCGTTCCAGAGCGTTCTGGAACGCCCGAGACATCCTCCAGAGCCGCCAGTTCTCAGAGACTCTCGATTTATCCTCACCCGATTTCATCCCCGTCCTGGTTTCGTCTTGCCCAGAAGCGGCCCCTGAACTGCCACCGCGTGCCCAAAAGGTGTACGAGAGGTGGACGTTTCGGCACCCCACGTTTGTTGCCCCCCAGACTCACAAGCATCCGCAATGGAGGCCGAGGCTTCTCGTGTGTCGTCTGCGGACCCGGGGCCCCCAAAGGACGGTCCCGGACGCGAGGCCCCTCCCCGGGAAACTGCCAAGAGGCTCGGGGGCCCAGCGTTGAGCAGAGCGGGGCATCGGACCGAGGCCTGGGGGCCACGATGGCCCCTGCAGCCCGTCGTTTTGGACCGGTAGGGGCCAGCTGGCCCTGGGTGGCTCGCTTCGCTCGCGCCCGTTCGCGGCCTTGAGGGCCCCTGCTGTTGCCCCTGGGGCCATCCAGGGGTTCGGGCTTGCAGGGGCAGGGCTCAAGAGCGCCTGTCTGTCCCTTGCTTCTCGGCCCCTCGTCCTCCCCGCCCGTTCCCCCCTTCCTTCCGTCGTTCTCCCTCTCTCCTCCCTCTCCCCTTTCCTGGCTCCGCTCGAGGTGTTCCCGTATCGTTGCGGGGAGGGGGTCCCTCGATTTCAGTTTGACATCGATGTGAGCAGAGTGTCTCACACGCGCCCTGCGGTCTCCATCATGCTTCAGATCATGAGGCTTGGCTGTATGCAGAGTTGCCAGCCAGCTAGCCTCCCCCTCCCCCTCCTCCTACTCCCTTCCCGTTCTTCCATTTCCTTCCCTATCCCTCCTGCTGCGCCCTCTCCCTCTTCTCCCTCCTGTTCCCCTCTGTCCTCCTGCTCGTCTCTCTTGCTCCCCCTTCCTCCTCCTGCTCACCCTCCCTCCTGCTCCTCCTTCTTCCTCCCTGGCGCAAGACTCTCTCTTCTCTTGGATGAGTCTGTCTCCCTTCTCCTGCTTGTCCTGCTCCTCCCTCCCTCTCCTCATCTGCCCCCCCCTCCTCCCCCCCAAAAAAGTCGCCCCTCGGACTTGCCTTGAGGTGCGCTCTGGCGAGAATCTCGAGGCGAGTCCAGCCGTGGCGACGAGGTTCCCTGGAGTCCCACATCTACTTTGGTAAGCATCCCCCTAAAAAGACCTGATCTTCGAGCTTCGTTCCTCGATCCTCCTCCTCCTCCAGCCTCCTCGCCTGCTCCTGTTGGCGCGGCAACTTCCGAGTGCATGAACAGTTAGCTCCCAGACTGGATTCGCGGGTGGGCTCGACAGTTCGCATGCCCGGTCGGGTGAAACGGTGGGAGCATGGCATGGGGTGCTCAAAGCCTGCCGCACGGAGGTGGCTTCGGTCCTGCCGCCAGGCCTTCTCCTCGATACGTGCGGCGTTCCGGAAAGGGCCTCGCATTCGAGGGGCCGAGATCTCTTCCTCGGCGAGAGGCGGCGGAGGCCGGCGGAAGCAAACCGGCGGCGGGTCCGCTGGCAGAAGCTGGTGGCAGCTCGCAGGAAGCTGGCGGAAGGAAAAAGTTGTTCCCCAAGAGATGTCACAACACTTTCGGATACAACTCCGGGAGGTCCAATTCTGACTTTGCCTTGGTCCGCAATCCGGTTTCATCCACCCTAGTCCCGCTCAGTCCCGCTCAGTCCGGCTTGACCCCGCTTAATCCGGCTTGATCCCGCTTGATCCGCCGCCCAATCTGGCGTAGCAGCCTCCCAGTGGAGCCCAATCCTCCTTAACCCTTGCGACGAAAACCTCCCAGTAACTGCCTCCTCAGACATTTTTCCTCAGGGTTTCAGGCACGAGCCACAGGACCGCCTCCCTAGCCGGGGGGCGCCGGGAAAACCAGCTTGGTGAAGAAGCTGGTTCGCTGCCACTGCGATCCCCCGACGCCATGCTCTTTTCAGAACGTCGACACCTAGAGATCTCGACCTAGTCTCCGGGACCGGTTTTTCATCCTGAGTCGTTTTTTGACGGTCCCGAGGCCCAGCAAGAGCCCCCCGAGGCCGAAAATCGTGAACACCTTCTTCCGTACTTTTTCCCGACGCGAGGCGGTCAGGGTCTCTCGTCCGCGCCCCAGGGTCCGCGTGGGCCGCGGGCGGACTGCAGCAGTGCGCGAGCGGTCTGTTTGCACGCAGGACCTCCGCTGGTTCTTGGAAACGACACGGCCGTTTTCCCCGTTTTCAGTTTTGCCAGTTCTCCTGGCTCCGGCGCCGCTTTTTTCTGGTTCCGTCGCCATTTTCGTTCTGGTTCGGGCTGTAGTTTTGATTTCGGAGCCGTTTTGTTGTTTTGTTGATTTGTGTATGTTGTTTCGGCGAACCGTTTTTTGTTGAAAGAGGTCCCTGCCCTCAAGATCAATTGTTTTTAGGGGAAACTTGTAAACCACTGCCCTGGCGGTTCCAAGAACCACAAATGCAGGCTAGGCTCTCCCTTTTGGCTGCCCCCCAGTTGTTTGGTTCTGTGGTCGATTTTGTCGGACCGTCGTCATTGGTGCACACTTGACCACTTGGAGCTGCACCGCTACGCTGCAGGTCCCCTCACTGCTGCTTGCAACTCCCGCGCTGCCTGTGTATGCTAAAACTCCCTTTTGCCTCTCGGCCTCCTCCCTCCTTGAAGGACGGCCAGTTCGCTAGTGAATGCCCCTGCCTAGCTGTGCGCTGGAGCGGATTTCGCCGCCTCGCCGCTGACAAACAAGGGTATGCTAAAACAAAATCTGTTAGCCCCCCCTCGCCAGGCGCGCCGCCCGTAGGGCTGGGTGCCCAGAGGAGGGCGGGCCTCCGGAGGCGCGGCCGCGGGCGAGATGGGCGAGCCACAGGAGGCGGAGCCCGGGGCCGGAAGGACGGCGGAGGACAGGCGGTCTACCCCAAAATGAGTTTGTTCGTCGAATCTACGAAGCTACGTAGAGTAATACCGGAGAAAAGCCCCAATCATAATCTTTTCAGGGCTATGGGGCTATAGGGCCATAGGGCTATGGGGCTATAAGGCTATGGGGCCATGCGGCTATAGTTAGGGCTATAGGGCTAGAAGGCTATAGGGCTATAGGGCTGTAGGGCTATAGGGCTATATGGTTATAAGGTATAAGGCTGTAAGGCCTCAGGGCTACAGGGCTGTAGGCCTACTGGGCACCCGGACCCGGGCACCCGAGCACCTGGGCACCTGGGCACCCGGGCATCCGGGCGTGCCGCCGAAATCGGCGCCATACCTCACCTACACATATGAATCCGCTAGGACCCCTACTGAGGCGAGCTCTGATTGCGGAATGATCCGTGCATCTACGATTAAGTCAGGCATGTCCTTTTACAGGAGGAATGTTCAACAATTGTCAAAGAATAGTCATGGGACGACTTTTTGAGTTCTAGTTGTTTTTTTCTATTTCCCCACATCCTAAGTGTGGATGTTGTTTTCATCATCATTATCATCATCATCATCATCAGCATCATCATCATCATCATCATCGTCATCATCATCATCATCATCACCATCATCATCATCATCATCATCATCATCATCATCATCATCATCATCATCATCATCATCATCATCATCATCATCATCATCATCATCATCACCGAGGCAATGCGCTGGTCGCGCTCGCTGGGGCGGGCGCTGCTGGCGGCGGGATCCCCTGGGCCGCCTGGTGGGCCCTCCAGGCCGCCCAGGACCCGCGTGTGCGCGAAGTGGCGGCGGAGGCAGGCGCTGCAGGAGCAGCCGCGGCCTCTGCCGCGGCCGAGGCGGCCGCCTCTTGGATGGACGAGTCCGTCCGGAGCGACGTGGAGGCCCTGTGCTTTCTTCGCTGGAGGCTTTACGTCATCGTCGCGTCCGCCGTCGCCGCACTCCTCTTTACCAACCTCCTGATGGCCTGCTGCTGCTGCTGCGGGTGCGCGCCCCTTGGATTCTTCGGGGGCAGGGCCTGGGCAGGATGGAATCCGCCGCCGCCGTCGCCGCCGCGCGCCTCGGCCGCCCAGCTCGCGGAGCTCGCCGACTTCGTGGAGGCTGGCGGCCCAGCCGCCGTCGATGCAGCCGCAAGCCGCTTGGCGGTCACGCCCGCCGCTGTTCGCGCTTGGCTGGTTCATTGGCGGGTGGCTCATTTCGGGCCTCGCCGCTTATGAGATGGCGAGCCTCGCAGGTGCCGCATCCCTCGGGGGCTGGGTGCGGGACTTGACCGAGGAGGGGGCCACCCGCACCCTGGGCCACCAACACTCAGCCCTGACTGGGCCGCTCTGCGGGCCATTGTCGACGCTGGTCGGGAGCAGTCTATCCAATCAGCCGTCGCTGCCCTGGGTGGCACGCGTGGCGTCGGCGGTGCAGCAGGAGCCGACGGAAGAGATGCTGGCGCTGCCGGCGCCGCTGGCGCGGCGGGCGCTTGCCACGGAGGAGGCGGCGGCGGAGGCCTTGGTGGCGTATGCCGTTCTGTGTTTGACAATGGGGTGTCCGTTCCAGTGGCAGGCGTGCAACTGGACCCTGCCTTGGTGCAGCTCCGGCATGACCTCGGAGCGAGAGTGGCGCACCTCGAGCAGCTTCTCGGGACGACGCCGTTGGCCAACGAGGCGTTCGAGGAGGCGCGAGAGGGGGTGGAGGATGAGTTCGGCATGCAGCCCCCCACGCGCACCGAGTCCCTTGAGAGCGACGCGCCCACGCCTCCAGGAGCCGGTGGGGCAAGCGAAGCCGGTGCTGACGTTGACCACGTCCGTGGGCGTGTCCTGGGGGATGCCAGCCCATCCTCGGGCGCGGCTGCTGCTGGTGGAGCCCCGCTGCCGCTCAGAGGGGCGCTCAGAGGGGCGCTCGACGAGGTGCAGCGCGACCTCGAACGGAGGATCGCTTATCTCGAGGTCTGCGTGGGGGACCGGCCTTGTACTCTGACGCCGATTGCGCAGCTGGCAGGGGGTGCTGGTGAGGTGCTGGAGGCGGAGGAGGTTGAGGAGGCGTTGGAGGCGGAGGCCGTCACGCCAGTATCGACGGCGTCGCGCGGGTCGACGTGGCGCTGGGAGGGGCACTTCGGGGTAGCTCCCTCGACCCCTCCAGGCGGCCCCGCCGTGCACGGCCAGGAGGCTGAGGAGAGAGGAGGGGTGTGGAGAGCAGCCGAGGTGATTGCAGCAGAGGGCTCTGCAGGTGGTGGGGAGGCGCCGACGCTGACGCTGGGGCAGGTGGTGTCCGCGCTGCCGCCTCGCCTGGCAGGGCTATGGATGTCGTTGTCGAGGCGGGTGCTCTGATGGAGCCCCCTGCAGCGCTGCTGCTTTGCACGCCTCGACGGCGGTCGACGCGGCAGGCTGTGGTGTGCAGAGACTGTCGCCGCCGCTGCGAGCGGAGGTGCACGGTCTGGTGGTGCCCCGCGTGCGAGCGGGCGGCTTGCAGCACTTGCCACACCAGGCGGCGACGGGGGCTTGCTGGCTACGGGCGTTCGGAACGAACTCCTGCCGAACGTCTGGGTGATGCTGCGCAGCTCGCGGCGCCCGTCCAGCAGGCGCCCGCCGCCGGGCCCGCCCCCGCCGGCGCGGCGCCATGTGCGGCTGCCTTGGAGGACGAGGCCCTTCCGCCTGCGCTCACGGACGGCTCGGTGGCAGAGGGAGTGGACATCGCCGTGGTCCTTGAATCGTTGGCTGCGGCCGGCCCCACGCTCGGGACGGTCGATCTGGGCAGGTTGCCGCGGCATCTCGTTGCGCGCATGGCGGATGTATGCGCCGCGGCCATGGGCGAGTTCGCCGAGGTTTATTGGCAGCGCGGGCCCGCCGCAGAGGCCCATGCCAGGCGGGCAGCCTTGGTTCTCTACTTCCTGCCCACGCTCATGGCGCATCCGACGCCGAAGGCGGACGAAGAGGATGCTAGCGGGGTGCCTGCCGCGGGGGGTGGCCAGCCTGGGCGGGCGTTCAGCTCGGACGTCCGGCATCGCATCAAGCTCGCGGAGTGCTGTCGGTTAGGCGAGCTGCTGGACATCTATTCCCGTTCGGTCCAGGCTTGGGCGGACCACAGCGCGCGGCGGCGTCTCGCTGCCAGTGCGCGGCCGCCCGCCTCCGCCAGCCAGACCCGGTTCAAACGGGTGGTGGAGGTGCTGCGGCGCAAGGGTGTTGCTCGGGCCCTGCCGATTTTACGGGCGTTGCCAAGCGCGCCCCACGACGAGGCCACCTTCGGGGCGATGCGCGACCTGGTGGATGTCCACGCCGAGGACGCCGCGCGGGCCCAGGTGCTGGAGGAGGCCTCGAGCATCCTTGCAGACGCAGGGGTGCGGCCGATCCGCGTCTCGCAGCGCGACGTGGTTCTTGAATCCTACGCGCTGAATGCTGCGGCAGCGCCCGGGCCGAGCGGATGGTCAAATGCCCTCCTGCTGCGGATCGTGCGTGCGCGGGCTGGCCCTGCGGCCCTTGCAGCTTTCGCGGGGGTGGTCACGCATGGGCTCCTGTCTGCAGCTGACGCGGTGCTGTGGGGCGCCGCTGTTATAGCACCTGTGAATCAGGGGCGGCGTCGGCAGGACGGTTCGTGGAAGTACCGTCCTGTCGGGTTCATGGAGGCGCCGTTGAAGTTCGTCGAGGGCATCGCTGTCAAGAAGCAGCTCGCCATGATCCGGCGGCGCGTGGAGCCTGGCGCCTTGGGGCTCACCCCAGAGGGCATCCCACTGTGCATCAAAACGTTGCGGGCGTGGGCCGCGGACATGGCCGCTGCTGCAGAGCCGAACCTTGCGGCGCCGAATGCGGGAGCCGTCGACAACGCGACCATCGTGAAGTTGGACTTAGAGAGCGCATACGGGCGTTTGCACCGAGCTGGTGCGTTACGGCGCGTCCGAGCGGCAGCGGCGCCCTTGGCCGAGCTCTTGGCCTCGCAATGGCGGGCTGGATCGTCGCGCATCTGGATTCGCGTCGATCGCGCTTGGCGCGCGGTGGACACATGCACAGGCGGCACCCAGGGATCCTTCCTCATTAAGGTCGTCTTTGACATCGTGGTCCATGCCATCATGATGGACGGTATCGGCCGGGAGCGGCTCCGAGCCCCAGGCGGAATGCCTGCCAGCATCGGCATCGCGGATGACTGGTATGTCGCCGCTGCGGCATCGGCAGCCACGCGGGTTTTGGAAGACTTGGAGGTCCAGCTCGCAGCGGAGAACCAGCGGCTGGTTCCTGCCAATTGCGCTGCGTATTTCCCTGCCGTGGATGCCGGGCTGGAGTCCCTCGGCCCCGCAGGCGAGGCCTTGAGCCGGCGCGTCTCGAGGTCGTTCGGGGGCTTGGAGGCGCTGGGGTCGGCGCTGCAGGGCCGCTGTACTATGCGCGTCCGCGCGACTAGCGCTATCCAGGAGGAGGGCCCCGCGAAGGCGCGAGCCGAGGAGGTTTGCAAGCTGTGCCAGGCTCTGCTGGACATGATCCGTTGCAGCACCCACCCTGGCACTTGCCATGCGGTGTGCACCATGCTGGCGCGGAGCGTTTCGAGAAGGCTGGATTATGACGTGCGGCTGTGCCCACCGTGGGCGCTAACGTCAGCCTTGCAGCGCGCGGCGGCAGCAGTGCAGGAGGTCTTAGAGGCGCTCGCGGCGCAGCGCCTCGACCTCGACAGCATGGCCATCGCGGGCGTGCACACCTTCCTCGGTGGCTTCGGCACCCGGCCGGCTGATTTGCCGCATGCGCGGGTGGCATATTGGGCTTGCCACGTTGCAGTCCAGGCTGATGTGACTGAGGTCGCGTCCCGGCTCGGGCGCCCTGCCGCGGTGCACCCCGGCGCACCCATCGCTGCCCGTGCGCGGGACGAGCTCGCCAGCTGCGGCCTCCAGCTCTGCCCCGGGCGCATCGACTTCACGGCCGATGCGCGGCTCGAGTATGAAGCCAGCCCCTGGGTTAC